AGAAAGAATGTTATCAGCAGCATTGTGAACACTGTGCTACACTACAGAGAAATACAAAACTGTAATAATGAGCCTTTAAAATATACATTTTACAAGCAGCACGCAGTGCTGTTACAGACAAGCAGTAATGATTCTGAATGTGTCCAACAACCAGCGAGGAGACTTGTTCATTTATTTCAACACAGCGTAACATCACACAAGTCTTGCTGTTCAAAACACTGGAATAAATCATTTCCAACTTCAGAAGAACAAGATGGATGATGCATAATGTTACTCATCTCGCTACAAACTCGCTCCTCTCCTGCTTGACACTTCTTCTGTCTCGCCTGAACCCACCGTCGTCCCCAAAGGCTGAGTCCTAGTCTCCAACACTCCCCCCGTACTAAGGGGCAACACTAGCACTGACAACTCTAATGTGGCAGCAGCACATCACATATTGACAAGACACAATATAGCAGACAGCAGACCCTTTCTGTACAAATTATTCATAACAAATACTGTAACAAGGAACAGGAAATCCTCTACAGCAAGCACAAGCAGACTGATGATGCACTACAATGAATCATACAAAATATTACAATCTCATCTGATCAGGACAAACGAGGCAACAAGACGTTAGCGGTGTGGTGATACTTAACGACAGACACAAATTAAGAGGGGTGATGCACTGTAAATCATTACCTTCCTCAAGTCTAAACCTGTCCCAAAAGACAGGAAATAACACACACTCAGTTTATCACCTGCAGCATCAATGTCCAATAAAGCACACAGAGTGCAAGCACACAGTCTTAAACTTCAGAAATCAGACCCATCCCATGGAACGAGCATCAAGGCAACTAACACCTCCACCCCTGCATCACTACTATCTACTTTTAAGTGTTAACACATTGCTGTCTTTTATAAATGGTAAAGGACACGGTGCCAATACACACGAAAATGACCCAAGAAATAAACATTTCACACTGCAGGATTTATAATGGACTTTTGTTCATTTTTGCACAATTGATTTACTTGAATAGATTCTCTTTCTCTTTCACAAATCCTGATCTTATTGCGGGTTCAGAATCATTTGCAAGGGAACTTTAAGTTGAACAGAAAGTGACTTAATTATACTGTGACAAATGTTGATAGTGACTGGTATGACAAAATGATCATGATATAATTTCAGACAAAAAGTATTCAAAACCTTATTATAGACTTTTGTCAAATATGTTGGGACTGCAGGAAAATATATAATCCCCTAATCTATAGAAATAATTTACTTGTATTGTGTCGCAACACTTTAGATTGCAGTGCCTTTATGCCCAGCTTCATCACTACTTTTCAACAACACAAGCTGAAGGTAAATTAACTGACAAAAACTATCAACAAACTTAAATAAATTAACTAACTACAACATTTAACTGCTACTGAAAAAATATATTTAAGAGGTATTGAAGATATTGGAATTTACTAGAAAACAAACCGGTTTAATACCATTTAGACATTTTTATTTCTCTACAGCCACTACTATGACTCGGCCTATGTGGTTCAATAATATACAGCTCATCAAGTGTGTTGTAAATCCAGTGCACCTCTTTCCTTTTACAGCAGTGGCTCTCTCGCCCCTCCGTAAATTACCAAACTTCCTATCAGCCAGGCTGTGGCTTGTTTATATCAGCTCCATCCAACATGACGGGGTTATAACTGCAGTAACTTGCTACACTGCATAAATTAGCCTAAACACAGCTAAACAAATGAAATTCTTACACACTGTTGGTTCAAGTAACTGCATCTCCCCCCAGAACACCATGGAAGACCCGATTCTTTTCTAGATTAATTGTTTAGTCAATAAAATGTAATAAAATAGTGAAACATGCCAGTCACTGAGCTCAAGTTGACACATTTAAATATGTTTTGTCTGATAATTATCTCATGTTGCAGGACATTTTGTTTTTTAAAAATGACTCAAATTATTGATTATCAAAATTGCTGCCTTTTAACTTTCTGATGATCAACAAATCAATTAATTGATAAAAATAGTTTCAGCTGTGATGCTTTTGTTATTTGTTGCTTTAGGAAAACTTAGTAAATTAATATTAATCACAAAAATCCTGTTTTTTTAACTGCTATTAACTCATTTCTGTACCATAATAATAATAATTAGAATAATTGCCCTTTATGTCATTTTTTTTTTTTATCAAAACAACCTTATCAGCATGCCTACCATTCAACTGGACCCTTCAGTCAGTGCAGGAATTAGGCTTGATGACACACTATGCCAACAGAGCAGATCATCACACTGCAAGCCACGACTCAGAGGCTACCACATGCTGAGATGGAGACTGGTGGCTTGTTGTGAGCCAATCTCTGCAGTTACCACCAAATTCCCCTGCAGTGGCTCTGTCGACACCTCAAAGTCATGTAATAAAACCCAGAGATTAATTCAAAGGATGTGTTTATGAAAAAGACTGTTTATCTGGGTCTGGTTCCTGGAAGCAGCAGACATCCTTCTCTAGCTTTACGTCAACACCTTCCTGGCAGAATACCAAGAAGCACGAAGGCTAGGCTAGATATTTAAACCCTCCATTCTCAGCTGTACAAAGTACAAAATCTTTGTAGCCATTATATATGTAAATGTGAAATTTCTATGGAGAAAATTGTATATTGACATTTATGTGTGACTTTTATTCAGGTGATTATTGCCACAAACATTTGACATAATGTGGGTTTGTAACGCGTGCTGCTGTCATATGAACGCTCATGGCTGGACTGGGAAACCCTGGCTTGACTTACAGACCTGATAACAAGTGCACTGTGACTGCTCAGCCTGATGCCGGTTGTTAGGGTCAATTAAAGCCTGGTAACAAAACAAAACCGTCCGTGGGTGTGTTGAACTTGCTTTGTAGTACAGGTTGATTAGAGGATGGGACTGAACCAATACAGCAAAGGTTGGGGGGAGGGGGGGGATCCTATGAAGCTCTGTAGAGATGAGGGGAACTGCAGAGTTGCTGAAAATTCTCTGTGGGTTTTGCCACTATGAGCAACTCTATTCACATTACAGTTATTCAACTCATTGTTAGTATAAAAAGATTGATTGGTGCAGATTTAATATGCAGCTTGTCTAAATATGTTAGAGCCTGAAATTCAAAAATTTCCTTCCAATGGAATAGTTTCATTTTGTTCCAAGTATTTTCTAGAATTAACTCATTGCAGTAACCTTCCTTTGCTGACAAGATACTGACACTGACCATTTCAAAAACAAGGGAAACTGCACTGGCAACACTAGCATCATCTCAGCCCTGGCAGGAAAAGGCTACAACTAAGGCTGTTTACGTATATTACACGTTCACTTACATACATATTCATGGCTTTTTAAGACATTCCTTGCACGTGCAGTGAATTCACGTGTGGCTTTTATGAAGCAGCTCCGCTCCTGTCCAATAGCAGCTGGTTTTACTTCATTATGTAGCAAACACTAAATGCCCACACAGACGCAGGGCGCCGTGGCATCGCTTCAGTGTAGAAGGTAAGTGAAGTGAAGTGAAGTGAAGCAGATGCAGCAGGCTGCACCGCACTGCGCCCCGCTTCCACCCAACACCAGCGACCAGTGCTGCTCAACTCCTCTTTCTGAGGCAGTGACCGCTACAACAGGCACCTTCCTCCACCTCTCCTCTTCCCCGCCTGTCATGTTTTCACACCTCTACCGTCCTTTCGGTCCTGTCAGCAAGATGCGCTCACTGACCAGAGACCAGTATCTAGAGGAGCTGTCATCCTTAATGCGGTAAACTCCCTGCCCACGCCACACACACACACACACACACACACACACACAGCCGAGCAGAAAGACGCAGTGACACCCAGCCCAGCGCCGACACTCGGCTTCAGAGCAACAAAAAAAAACACTTACAGTTCGCAGGAACTGGATCTCATCCTCGCCTTCTCCTCCTTCAGCCATGGCTAGCCTTCACGCGGAGATGCTCGCGCTGTATCTGCGTGTGCAGTCAGACTGGGTGTGCGTGCGGCGATGTGCGCGTGTTTGAGACGAGCAAGGCCAACGCACGGTGGTACTCGTCTCTCATTGGATGGCGCGCGCTCACCGAGGGAGGAGCCGCACAGGTGTGAGCGAGTGTCTGCGCGCGAGAGCAGTTTGTTGGTTCGGTTTGCCCCCTCTCTGGGCCGCAGGGGAACGGAAGCTCATTCCCGCCATGAACGTTTTACAAGTAAATTATACCATTCATTCCAAAAGGAGTCCATACTCCTACCGAGACCTCTGAAACTTGCATCTGGGGTTTTTAATATAATATTTATTTCTTTTTTCCGACATGGAGGTGTAAATGCTAAATCATCAAAGTGGAATCCATTGCGCTGGATGTGAAATTTCCGCAATGTGTTCATTTTTAATTGTAGAATGGCAACTTCCTCCCGCTGGCTAATAGCCTTCCAGTGTGTCTTTAATGGTAGCAATTGTCCTGTTAGTAAATAAAAACGGTAGAAAAAGAATATATCATTATTTGTTTCATCAATCACAATTACATTTATACTATTTTTAAATAATTAAATGTAATCTTCATATAAAGAACTTCAACACCTCTCAGACAAATCACTTTTATCATTTGTAAAATACTTTTCTATACATGAAAAACGTTCCTTTATACTTAGCACTTATATAGGCTACTTACTAATTTTAAAAAAGATTCTAACATGTTTAAAAGGATTCTCCAATAATTTACTATTGTACCTCCATAATGTTGGAGACTCACAAGAGACACATTAAAAAGAAAGAGAACACTGTGTCCTACACTCCCCATTAATGTAGCTTTTTTTAGGCCCCAGCTGTCTGGTTAATGCCCACATTCAAACTCCATGGCCCCAAGTTGTGACACAAATGTATAACAGAAATCATGTAGTATTAAAGCCCACGCCGAGCTAACCCCAGATGACATTTGTAGTTTTTTTCCCCCATGACCACTTTCTTTAAGGCTGATCAGAGGTGTAAACTCAGAGAAACAAAGAGAAAATATGTTGAAATGATATATTTAACAAAATTGCACTGTTCTTTCGCTCCTGTTTTACAGTGTTTGCAATGCCACCATCATTTATCCACACTTTCTTTTTTTACTGCAAGTAAAATGGATTACAAAACAAAGTCTCATACAATCAAAGATCAGCCACTGCAGCACATCAGGGCTTTTAAGACACATGTGAAATGCATTTCAGTTTTAACCTGGTTGATTGCTGTCATTCTGTCCCATGTGAAGACTTTCCAGGACCTTGGAATAAGTACATATGTTGAATAGTACACACAATAAAACACTGATAATACACAGTAAAATGTCAACAAGACGTCGACACTGAGAACATAAAATGCTGATAACACAGATGTTACAAAGGGTTTACCCAGTTTACCACTTTAATCATTTGAGGATGAGACTTTAATAACACTGGTTATTTCACTTAAGTCTTTACAACCAAGCATAGAGCACTGTTCACTGTAACCCTTTCTTTGGTTGTAAATTATTATTTGTCGCTTATGACAGCCATGCACCTGCAGCAAATAGCTGTTTGGTTTGTTATTAAAAAGTTACATTCAAGTGACAGCTGTACATAATTTTAATCAAAACTTTGACTTTATAAATGATTTTCAAGGTGACTTAAATAATCAACATTAGTAAGCTAAAAAATGTGTTAGCTATTAAGCTAGTACACTCCAGCCTACATGCAAATGTTGATAATGCTAAAACCTTTACACAACAAGAAAATACAATTTGTATGGATCTAAACTTTTACTTTCACATACGAATCTAAACTGTATGTTGTTTATAATGTCCTAAATTCCCCATGTGTCCAAGGTTTACTGCATGGTTGTAGTGTAATTAGTTTGGTTTTATACATGTGGCTATTGTTGAGGTAATGTTGTAGTATTTACTGTGCTGTACCTCCATACTTTTTGAGGCGAATGAACAGGTCCGTACCACCAAGTATAAAAATGTAACTGAAAACTGTCACATATCGAAATTTGGCACTGAACATACAAACAGATTTTAAGTGCTTTTTACTAATTGTCTGATCAGATTTCCTGACTTTAATCACAATCACAATCTGGCAGCGGGGGGGGGGAAGCAGCAAGCCTGGTTCTTTCCAAAGTACAAAAATACATTTACAAAGAGCTCACTAACAAAATCACAAGCAGGTGCAGTGCTTGTTCATGGAGTCTAGTTGTCACAGTGAGGTTGCCAAACCGAGGTTCAAAAATGCTATAGGCAGAGATGTTACACACGAGTACAGGTCAGATGGATAAACTGTTGTTCGTTCACATTTCTGTTTGTGCACTTATTTAGAGAAGGAGATACTCGGTTAATCGGTGAGCTTTAGCACCTTTGTTAGGTGTGTTTTTGAACTTTGGCCCAGCCAGACAAACTGTTTTCCTCTGCTTTCAGGCTTTATGCTAAGTTAGCTCAATTACATCCTGACTCCAGCTCTGTACTTTACACACAGAAATGAGACTGATATTAATCTCCTCATTATACTCAGAAAGAAGCAAATCAGCACATTTTCCTAAAGGCTGAACTATCCCTTTAAGGTAACAGAAATACTTACATTAGAAGTTTACTTCATTTTAGTAAAAGGAAAACATCTTTTTAAATGTTTCTAGAATCAGCAAATCAAGGTGTCACCAAAAGTCAGTCATTATGTTGGCACAGATATTGACTGACTTTGAAAGATACCCAGCTCAGAGATGAGTATACAAATAAACACATAACCATTTTAGCTTGATCATGCAGCGCCACTGAAGACACATGTGACTGTGATATAACACCATTTAGTTTTCACTTTGTGTGTAAGAATCACTCCATCAATAAACAGCGAATACATTTAACAGACAACATAATCCTTAAACACAATGTATTTGTGTGTGCGTAGTGTTTAACTGTAGTGAGATGGTCAAAGACCCTTTCTTAACAATGTACAGTAAAACGTTAAGGCTTATACTACGAGATATCAGTGAATCCCTGTGTAAGCAGCCACAGTAAGAACCTGTGTGAGCTATAGAAGAAAGGTTGGACTGTAAATTCTGGGCTGGTGGTGCCCTGCTCTGACCCCTCTGTGTCCCAGTTTACTGCTGGAGCGGTCACACTCTAAGCTTCACTGTCATAACCCAGTACAGGAGCCAGCCATCTCTGTATCTCCTCCACACTCATCCCTTTCCTCCTGGAATAGTCATCCACCTGAAGACAAGAAGAGCAGAAAAAATATGAGTTTAGCCTGATTTTGTGTCGGAGTCCAGTCTATAACATATCCTCTATCAAATCTCTGTATGGATCCTTCCTGTTTTGTATTATTCTCCCGTGTTGCTTTCAGAAACAGCTTTCCATGCAAAAAAAATGCCTGGTGAAGTTATTTGTCTGTGTTACTTTATTCTTTCACCAAATCTTCTGCAACTGCGGACTGCAACTGCGGAGTAGACCATCTGCTTCATGTTTACACCGGCACGGGCATGCCCAGTGTACATGAACGGCCACTAGATGCTTGTTTTCAGTCCTTTTAATATAGACTGAGATCAACTCTAATATGCAGCTAAAGCGCTGCTGTGGACAGAGAAGATTTGTATTCATTATAAAACGGTTTTAAAAAACCTAGTAGTGTGGATGTAGCCTCACATTACCCCACTTCTCTCTTTAGTCCTCTCATGTAAACCCTCCCGTTTTCACCAGGATTCTCCCGTATTTTTCCGTTCTCACCCGGGTATCCTCCCAATAAATGTTTCCCCGTAAATCTCCCGTATTTTTAACCTTTATGAAATCAAATAAAAACCTGCTGGCCGTATTTAAAGTGTTTGCTACTCTCTCCTCTGGTAAAGCCGGTGGCAGTAGGCCTATGTAAAAGATGTAGACTGTGCTTCTTGCACAAGGATTCAATAAATGAAAACAACCCACTGAATTAATATTAGGCTTACAATAGTGGTAAACCAAATTAAATTCTAATGAATATAGTAACTATAAGTAATATTAACAACATAATGTGGAATTAACATTGTACTTTCATTTATTTAAATTTCCTTTATTTTCAAATCTCATTGAAGACAGTTTTGACTCCTCTCTGTAACCCTTCTCCCTCTCTCTTTTCCTCTCTCTCCCCTAAAGCCCACAGAACCTGCCTCAGCTTTCCAGAACAAAAAGCAGCTACTTCAGAGTTTATCGTCGACTCAGGATGCCTGTGCTCCTTTATCTCCTAAATACTTTGGCTAAAGCCTTTTTTGTTGCAGTTTTTATAGTTGAAGTAAACTTATAAAGATGCTGCTTGTCTTTTTTGTGGTTTATTCCACAGGAAAGCTACATTTGTTAAGCAGTAACCAGGCAAAGGCTGCTATAGTTTAAGTCTCTAAGACAAAGTGGAATTTGTTTCCTGACAATAAAATAGTTGTCATTTCTGGATACTTTATCATCTGTTAATTTTAACACTTAATATATTGTTTTTAGGACTAATTAAATAAATATAAGATATACTGTATAATGTTACATGATAAACAATAGGCTTCAAATAGACCCAGTGATCGGTGATCGGTATAACCGACCCTGACTCAAGTGAAATCACTTCAGGACTAGGAGATCGACCATCAACAGACCATCGCTGATGGCTGACGGACATCACAATGTTGAGCGGGAATCTTGAGTTAACCCACTATAGCACCCAGTGAAAGCATGTTTTTTTGTTTAATTTCCACAGAAATTATTATTAGATCTATTTTTAAATCTACCTGCTTTGCACCTGCCTCAGTAACTCAGGGGTCAGGTCACTTTTCAGGGACCTGATGTTGAACTTGTCATGACCATATTTGCCTTCCATCTGCTCTCGTAACAAATGGAATAGTTACTAGTAACTAAAAATGAAGTACTAGTATCTATTCAATTGTTAGTAGTAAAACAGTAATATTTACTAGTGAATTTTAAATAAAGACTAGTATGTTTTAAGGAATAAATGGTTAAACGGCTTGTCATAGGGAAAGTGTTTATTTCTCAGAGAGTGGGGTTTGGTCCTGACGAAGGGGTGCAGCTCTGACTCTGCCTTTTGTCTTACACACTGGCAGCAGAGTCTCTCCTCTTCTCCTCTGCCGACCCTTCTCTATAGCTAGGTAGCGCTCGCTGGGTCTGTACACAGTCGAGACGTCTCCGCAGGTGTGCATAGAGTCAGCTCTTTCCTCCGTCGAGCGTGTCTCCACAGATCCAAACATTTCCCATGGTCTTATAATGATTCATTTTCCCCTCAGAAACAGAAAAACTATCCTGGTTGTAGTAGGGGGGGTTCTGATGGTGCTCTATAAATAGTACACATGTAGACAGCACAAAGCATCTCTTTGTTCACTTTTAGCCAAATATAGGATTCTATTTTTTGGATCATTTCAACTGAATGAGTCAGTTCTGATGTACACCATATACTCATGGCTCCTGAGTTGTTTCCCTGGGTGTTTGTGAGATTTTTTGTTGATGGGATAGTGATCAGTGGAAACATCTTCTCTGCACCATGTCTCAACGATGTCTTTATACTCTATTGAAATCAGCAGGTGTAGGCGAGTTTGGCTGGGCGAGGTCTGGGTCTGAGGGGTGTCTGTGGGTACAAAGGATCGTGTCCCTCTCTTGTAGCTCCTCTCTCAGCGTAGACAACACAGTTCCACAGTTGTGTCTGACCTTCTAAAGTCCTTCACCTCCTCACTGAGGTAATCCCGTGGTCTTCTCTGACTTGCTGCATATTGCTGATTATTTCTCAGTTGTGAGTTGACATGTCCTGTTCTCTCTTGATTGGTCAGTTGCTAGGAAGTCACTGGTGGTAGCAGAATTAGGCTGCTGTTGGTCCAGCTGCTCCCTGAGCTAAACCAGCTCCAGAGTGGTCTGGCAGGATAAGGTCAGTGTCGGTATCTACAGGCTGTGGGTCTGGAGCAGGGGTAGAACAGGGGGGTTTGGCTCCCAGGGTTGCTGGGGTGTTTCTGAGAGTCTCTTTCTCCTTCTCAGCCTCATGACAACAATGTCTCGCTCAAACTGTCCCAGGTCACCTAGTATCATGGCGGTTCTGTTTATTATTATTGTGGTGGTGGTAAGTCTTTTTCCTTGAGTACACCCAACTGCTGTTTAGCTAGTGTTATCTTGTTTTATCATTTTTAATGCTTACTGATTTCAGTGTCCAGTAGCTAGCAGTTACTTGCTTTGCGCCTCAGTCAGTTTGTTTCATGTCTTAATCTCTCCCTCTGTCTCTGAAGTCCTCTTCTAATTGTGGTCATTCCTTTTTACAATTTTCTCATAACATTTCAACGTTGATCAAATTTAGACAGAAATCAACAAATTTATTTAGGAGCTTTCATTAAGCATGTTTTACATCAGCAGAGCACCGCTAAGAGCACCTTCTTCTCCTACAAAAATACTGTTTTCATTCCCTTTATTTTTCAGTCTCTATTGCTTTGCCGTTTTTCATCATTTACTGCGCAGATATCCAAAGTGAAACGTGCAACTGTCTCAGGGTTTCATTGCGCTATACAATGTGCAACCAAGTTATGTGTGGGAAGTTGAGTGTAGTTCCAAACACCCAAAAAAGTTATCTATTCTAATTATAATGTACACCTAAACTGACATTGATTTTCTTCAACTGGCCTTCTTTTAGGTGGCTAATAAAATGTATAGCTACTGACCCTGTCCACAGCAGTGCATTGTGTATCTTCTCCAAACTGAAAGCCATCTACTGCAGATAATACACTGACTATGGATAAGTAGCTCATACAGGCCCACTTCAAAAATCCCCAATTAGCCCTTTAACATTATAATATTGTCTTTCTGGTGTTTACTGCATTTTATTTATTTTTGTCTTGTCCAGAGGCCTCTAAATAAAGTGGAAGAGATCTGTTGTGTCGCAGGTATTTTATCTGTGTTAATCTAATTTGCTGAAGGACACACATCTAGAACACCCAATGTGATATTATAGTATTTGTGATTTCCGACACTAATGGGATATCTCATTAACATGAACATTCACAACACTTTCTTGAGTTATTTATAGCAGTTTAAATGTGGATGGTTAACTAACCTGCTCCTTGGTGATCTTTCCCACAGCGAAGTATGAAGCCTGAGGGTGGGAGAAGTAAAGTCCAGACACTGAGGCAGCAGGCGTCATGGCCAGAGACTCCGTCAGACAAATACCTACACACACACACACACACACACACACACAGACAAAAATACACACATGTAGATATTTCATATGCATACAATCACGAAAACAAACCCTCAAATGATAACAAACACACGCACAAAATCTGCAGCAAAATGAGACAAAAGCTCAGGGTTTCATTTTCACACTTAGAAAATCTGAATATTGCTGATACAATTGAGAGCCTGCTTTTTCAGTAAAAAAAAAAAATCAACACTTTGAGGGGTGGACAGCTACCATGAACCATAATGCCTCTGGGTGGAATCTGGATGGGGACCTTTGTTGTATCTCTGTCTCTGCCATCACTCAAGACTGTATTGAGACCAATTGTGGTGTTGCAGCGCTTAGTCGCAGGGTTGTATGGGGGTGTGGGCGTGTTTATTTATGCTTTAGAACATAACCGCTGTAAAATAATCAGAAAATAACGTTTCATTTCACTGATTCACTGGCTTTCTCGCTACCAGTCCTCATTCACTCAGCAAACTTTCTCTCTCAAACAAATGAACACGAACCAAATTAGGCTTCTTGTGTCGCTATTTTTCAGCCAAGACTGCAAGCCAGACTCAGTCGACGAAGCTGGGTATCCGAAATAAACCCAGCGAGGACAGGGAGAGATTTGTAGTTTGGTCCATGAACTACACCGTTTCGGTAACACTTCACGCTGACTGGAGCGCTGTGGCCACCACAGAGCGACGTCGGGTTGTGTTTCTATAAAAGTTGATTCTGTTTCATCGTTTCCGCCACAGCCTAAAGAGACTATACCTACTCATATGAACGGGAGGACCTGCCATTTGGCCGCAGTGCTTGATTTGGTCTGAATCCAGTGAACATGTTTGATTGATAGCTGAGCAGACAGGGGCACCAAGATCAACATGTATATTCTAATCTGACTGATGCTGACCACTGTTCTGAAGCGGTTCAATACGCTATAGCTAACTAGCTTGTCCATCTACCCTGCAAATGTACATTAGCAGTGCCCTCTGGACTTTGAGCTTTGTTTGGTAGCTCGTTCAACAAGACACGGTGAAATACAAGAAGTGTGTAGGTTAGGTAAGAAGTACACATTAGCTAGACGCCATGTGTGGGTTGTTCTTCAACGTCCTTTGTGTTGTTTTGTTGTCTGATAGTCATCAGCACTGTTGGCCTATGATACAAGTAGGGATGCAAGTAATGACTATTTTTGTGGTCGACTAATCTGTTAATAATTTATTCGATTAGTCGACTAGTCACGATTATTTTTGTCACCCCCTAACCCTAATTAAACCATTTAACTAATTAAATATCTTTCAAGTGAATTACTGATCTCCAACACACAGCCTAACTAGCTAACATTACCATTAAGTGAATAAGGTTTACTATTCAGAATGAACACCAGTATCAACGCCAGGGGGAAACCAGGGAAGAAGACAAGACAGCGTAGGCTACTCCTGTAACTCACTGATTTATACTAACTTTAAAACTTTGCTGTTTAACAAAGATTTTTGCTTTGGAACTATATAAAATAAAAGCAAATTAAAAGCAAATACTATAACCACAACTGTACACTAACAATGTCTATTTAGAATAATAAAGCAACAGTCCGCTTTCATACTACTTCTGTAGTTTATTCTTCAAAAGTGCTTATAAGTTTTAGTCAGTAACTCCTACATCAGGAGTCAGATGTTCCTTGATGTACTTTGAACCATTACTCATTACTAATAACCTTTTTAAAGCTGGGTCTCCGACATTGCCAGCGTTGTGTTGGACAGATTTATGCTGCGGTGTTTGAGAGAGAGAGAGAGAGAGAGGACGTGCTGCTGTGTGAATGCGCTACAGCGCTGAGGTGCAATCAAATACGATTTTAAATGGGCCTAGTAAAAAAATAAATAAAAATCAATGTCAGTATTTGGCGGTCAGCATTGATATTGTGGAGGGCCGCCAAAAATAAATGAAGGTATGGGAAACACTGTCTTTCGTCTGTCATTGCTGCTCTGTTCTTGCTGCTGCAGTGGTCTGAGTAACTGGGACCCGAGGGCTCTGTGGGCGCGACTGGCCGACCGGTCTAACCTAACGGGCACTTGTGGAGCTTCCCAACCCGAACACGTTTGAGCACATTTTGGATTCGCCATCAGCTTTCGTAAAAACAGCCAATATTCAAGTTCTACACAGTTGATTTCTCACCTCAAACCGCTCAAAAGTGTATTTAGTGATGAAATAGTGTACAAAAGCTATTTCTCCGTGAGTTATGGCTACATGAAAGCCTCTTCTTCGTTACAGTCATGGCATACTGCCCCCAGCACTTCCTTTAGTGCTTTCCAGTTAGAAATAAACAACCAGAAATGTTCTTAAGAAGAAGACTGCTATCTCTCCCTTAAACAGCCTCTCTGTAACAATGCGTCGACTATGAAATTTCACGTCGACAAATTTTTGTAGTAAAACTCCTCGATTACGTCAACTAATCGTTACAGCCCCTAGATACGAGAGATGTTACTGCTTTAGGCATGAAATGATTCAATAATGTATAAAGAAAAGCTGTCCGTCTGTGTAGACAGGGATCCAATGTGTATCCAACGGGTTAAGACAAGAGTAATACATTTCTCACTTTTAGATGCGGATTTGTTCTCAGAGAGAGTTGATTAGCATGCTGTAGCAGAAGAAAACAGCTGTATTAATTGGGGTTTTTGACAGTTGGGGGTGCTGAACAAGTGTAAATACAAGATTAACATATCATCACCCACAATGTCTTAGCAAATAGTTACCTTTTTACATTTTCAACAGCAACATATACGCATGCATTTGGAGTTGGATTTGTGTCCACCAGATAACTGTAAACTGTAATATTCCCCACTCCATTTAGAAATTTCACAGAAAAGTGCTGCAGGTGGAAAGCAGGTTGATTGGGGGGGGGGGTTGTAGACTGTAAAACCAAAGCAACCAAAACAATGACCTGACAGAAAAGCTCTGTGCAGCTGGTGATAATTCTCAGTGGGTTTGTCACTAAGAGCAACCATTTTCACATTAGTCATTTGAACCATTGTTAATAGAAAATACATTATGAAATTTAGCTGTGTTGATTTAAAATGCTCAAAATCAATAGTTTTTTCTCCTCACAGATCTGATGTTTTGTCATCAGCACGAACAGCAAACACCTACATGGACACACAAACCTTCACTTGCCATCTGGATTACACTGGGATGGGGTCCAACAATGTTCACACTGGCATTTGTCAGTACTGTGATGACAACACTAAATCTGATGCTCTTCATCAGACAGTATGATGAGTTTGGCAGCAGCTTGGCTGAGCCAGCGTCAGCCTGACGGACCAGCGGAAAGCTGAACTGACAGCTTGACTAAGATGGTGGGGAGATGACAGTGACAAACTGATATACAGGATAATGTACAGCCCACCTTCAGACAGAGGCAAGGTATTTGTCACCGTAATGCCTCCCCCTCCTTGCTAATGTTGGCTCAGCTAAGCAGACAAATTTACATTTCTATACCGACTCTGAAGAACTCCAGTTTGTGCACTCAGAGATAAGCTGCAGGTACATCGAATGCATTGGGGTCTGTTGTGGTAACACGTATCAATGTGGCAAGTGTGACTGTATATCATGGCCACATTTCCACACAAGAATCTCAACTTTTCTCATGTAATATCATCCCTGCTTAGTCAGCACACATGTAGGCATGATTTAGTCTTCCCTCCTCTTTTTTGTATTTTGTTTGGAGAAGTAACCTCTTTAACCTCAATGATACTGTAAATGAATTCACTTTAATTCAGTTAGAAACTCCTCGACTTCAATAGCTCCTGTTTCAGCAGGTTTTCTGCTCATGTTCAAAACTTTCTGCACATTCAGAATCTCTCCCACATATCTGTGTTCTCTGACATACTGAGAAAAAAGTTTTTAGGTCTACCTGCCCTATACTCTGCTGTGCATCACATTATTGTTCCGCTGGTAATATCCCCTACAGACCTTTTGACCGACGCAGTTTGGGACTGCATGTTGAATGTGAAACCGAAACTAACCGAAAACACTTCATCAAGCAGAAATCTCACCACAAATCCGCTAACTTCAGCACCTTCGATAAAGTGCAGCACGCAGTCAGTTTTCAGATGTTTATAGAGCAACTATACCAGTTATTTACCACTCACAACTGTCTGGACTCACCGCACAAGAGCGGGTTCAACTGATTACGATTATTATTATTAAGATTAAAATGTAGGTTAATTATACAGCGCATCCGTGGGATAATGGCATCAGCCGAAACTGCACAGGCGGCGGCTGTGCCGCGGTTTTGTCTGTCCTCTGCCTGGCGTCAACTCACACTGAAGAGTTTCAGCAGCAGAGCGTTTAGTTGCCCTACATTGTTGACATTTTGTTAATTTGTCATTTTGTGTGCTGCTACGGATAACGAGTCTGTTCCATTCCGCTCTCTGCACATATCCCACATGAAGCATTTCAGAATAATGTTTTGCCTGTCTGATTTTGCTGACTTGTTCAGATTTTTGTGCTTCTACCATGGTTAAGTAGGCGATGTACTGTATTTAAATTGTATCTTTTTTTGTATTTTCTATTTTAACTGTATTTGTTGTTGATATATGATCGGGAGTTCCGTCAAAAATAGACTGGCAGTGAATGTTGAGCTAAGCTTAAAAAAAAAGAAATCGCAAATTGAATTGTAATTGCAATATCGAAATTAGATTTTTTTCCCCAAATCATTCAGCCCTACTTACCAACTTACTACCTAAGTTTTTTCTGCCAGATATTGCAATTACAATTCAATTCAGTAGGGAATACATAGCCCAGGCTTGTCTCGTAAATTAGTGCATGTTGATGCTTGCATGTTGATGCTTGTATGTTGTTCCTCAATGTAAGTCGCTCTGGATAGAAACGTCTGCCAATGAGTAAATGTAATGCATCCAATAACAAAAACCATCTGGCATTTTGGCAACACAAAAGTAATCTCAAAGTAACAGTGTATCACTTGCTTCCTAGTTGGCGGGCAGCGTAAAATAACGTCTTTTAACGCTCCAAGGGAGCGTTCCCCTTGGAACGTGACGTCACGTGAAAACTATGAATTGACCATTCCAGAAGCCACGCCCCCCCTTAGTTGACAAGCTGTCAGACCTGTCGGACTAAGCAAGGCGCTGCCACTGTATATGACTGCACTGCCTGCAGAAATATTGTCTTATTTTTGAAAAAGCTATCTCAGAAAGAAGCCGACAGAAAGGTTTGCATTGTGCATTTGAAGGTTGTATTCAGGCTGTCAAACTGACGTGAAAAAAATAAAGATAAACTAAAGCCTACCAATCACACAGCAAAAGTGAACCACCACTTCAACTGATGATTGAGACAAAGGACAACGATATCAAGGATCAACACTGTTCTGTAAAGCTGAAAAATATAACTTAATAAAACTTTTGCATAGGAGTCAATGGAGCATCAGCATGAAATTGTCCGGCCTCTGTTAGAACCAGTCCTATACTGTGATTGGCCATCTTGCGTATTTGGGGTGTGGCTTAGCAAAGGGTGAATTGCATGAGTCTCGCGAGACAGCTTTTAATCTGACAAGAAATCTTGTCATATTTTAATCTTGTCACACCCCTAGTAATAAATGAAAATTTTATTTTGCTGTTCAGACTAATAAGAAAAAATAACAGTACTGGCAGCAGTACAGTACAACAGTATTGGCAGCCTTTCAGCTGCAGTCATGACAGTAAAGTGGTTGTTGCTCTCACCTGTCTTCTCCTGGATCCCAGCCAGGCTCCATATGGTGGTCTTCTCTGTGTGGTCAGGCTGGCTCGGGTAGCCAGCTGCAGGTCTGATGCCCTGGTATCGAACTCTGTGGAGGTCTGAGGCCTGCAGAGCCTCGTCACAGCTGTAGCCCCACAGGTCCTTACGCACACGAGCATGGAGCTCCTCAGCAAAGGCCTTGGGACAGAAGGATGTAGCAGAAACCAAAGAAACACCATGCAACAGTTAGCATGTCATTCAGCACCTGTGACTCACTGACACAATGGTGAAGGAGATCTGGTGTGTTAGGAAGCAGTCCATACTGTACCTCAGCCAGTCGGTCAGCCAGGGCTTTGATCATGATGCTGCTATAGTCGTCTCCCTGATCCTGGAACTCCTGACTCAGCTCCTCAGCTCCAAACACACCCACAGCAAACACACCGATGTAGTCTGCTACACCGCTGTCTACAGGGGCAACAAAGTCTGACAGACACAGGTAGGGCTCTGAACTGGAGCTGTCTTTCTCAGCCTGCAACACACACACACACACACACACACACACACACACACACACACACAGAAATGTGTTACTGTTTCTTTGGAAGTGTATTCCCATCCACTTCTGGCTCCATCATGAAAGTACTACATCTGGCAAGTACTAGGCTGATACCTCACCATGACACAGCAGCATGATGCTGTCTTAATGCTACATGGAGGGCTGGCTGATATGGCTCATAAATAATACCTCAATATTTTTAGGATATGCCACAATACAAGATATTTATCCCAATAAACACATTTTGTCTATACTAACATACTGTACAAACATGATGATCTTGCAGAATATTATGCACTGCCGTAGATTGAACTACCCAACAGTATGTAAAGTAGTTAAAATGAGCATTTTATTCCTTTTCTGAGGCAGCAAACACAACACACAGCCTTTTAGTAACTTTTATACTGCAACCTGGGCCTATCTACACACTGTATGGCTGACTAAAGTAACATACCTACCCATCAACAGCGACAAGCTGAAACACTGAAAACTTGAATATGATGACATCATCATCTGCTATATCGCACGTTAATTAATATTTGTATATTTCAAATATATTTGAAATATCACCCAGCCCTAGCTACACGTGTTCCCTCCTCCTGTACCTGTGCACGTCACGGAACTTAAAAGCAATGGAATGAAATACACTGCAACTGTTAATGACCCTCACCTGTTGCCGTAAGCCATGGAATGTGGCGATGGGCTTGGTGTCTCTGTGCACTGTGACATCATCTTTGTACACATTGATGTCATCACGATCACTCTGGGCACGCCAGAACCCCACAAGACCCTGCCCCTTCAGGCTGCCTTTGCCAATCACCTGGCTGAGAAGCCGCTGGGCATCATCGAAGACTCGCCGAGCCTCCGAACCTGCAGAAAGCAAATCCCACTAAGATCAGAGGCTGGAAGTCGTTCCGCTGAATTCTGTTGTGTTCTTGTAGTTGTATACTTGAGTATACATCAGTTGTATACTGATGATCTTAAACTGTACAAAGCCAATTGCACCTGCATCAAACTTGTGCATTCACAATATACACACACTTTTCCATAACTTACACTGTATTGTATGCAACAAAAACTGGTTACATTTATCCATCAACACAGCTTAGTTATTACTTAGATTGTTTTGTCATAATAAATTAATGAATTATCCTCTTTCTTATTTCTAGGGGTGTGATGAGACACTTAACCCACGAGACGAGACCAGATTTTAAAACTATTTTTAAGAAATCTTTAGTGCTGATTTATATTAAAAAAATTTGGAGCATTAAACACTTTAATTCCTGCATTATGATGATTTTTCTGAACCAGTTTTTGGTGAAAGTGTTTTTATTCAAGTAAAGAGAAACACAAAATTCAAGTGGCAGGTCAAACTCTGTAGCCTAAGCCACGGCAACGGCTTCTGTGCGCCACTGTATTCCTTTATAGCCTAGCTTAAAGTAAAACCAAAAGTAACGTTAGTTGATAAGCTATATTATTATATTATTCATATAACTGATAAATCTGGTCATGCAAACGCCCTCCTGTTAATGTCCCGTAACTGTTCAGTGAACACTTCAACACTTCACACCAAGTCACAGACGGAGAGTATCAGTCTCTCATCCATCTTCTTTTTGTGCTGCGTGTCGCGTAGGCTACAGAACGTTCAAGTCATTTCCAACGGGCATGTGCATGAGACGAGCACGACCGCAACAGTTTCACGGGAACACGCCCACTTGTCGCTATGCCTGTCGCAATGCCAGCACCTCCCTTCCTTCACGCTCACCTCTCATTGAAAATTAATTGAGAGTCACATAAATCGCTTCCCATGTGAAAAGGCCTTAACTCTACCAGAACCTAAGTCAGCGCAGCTCTCAGTCATTCTGTGCTGATTTAATATCATCCCTGCTGAGTCATGATTTAGTCTTCCCTCCTCTTTGTGTCTTTGTTTGGGGATGTAACCTCTTTAAATGTGATTGTGGCACCTTTTCACCGCACTGATAAATTATTTAATTTTAGATTCACTTAGAAATTCTTGGACTGTGTGTCTGCTCATGTTCAAAACTTTCTGCACATTCAGAATCTCTCCCACACATGCTATCTGTGTTCTCTGACAGGTCCAGAGAAAAGGCAGAATATTACCTGACAAATGACATCATTTAATGAGAAGTGTACCCGCCCTTTACTCTGCAGTGCATTATGTTTTTGATCCACTGGTAGTAACGTTACCCCCTTCAGAGTGTTCAATTTGGGACTGCATGTTGCATGTGAGGCAGAAATCTCACCACAAATCCACACGTTAACTTCAGCAGCTCAGATAAAGTGCAGCTCACAGTTCCAAACAGAGCAAGGCTGTACTTCAGTGTTTACCAGCTACGTTACCACTCATCACACCTGTCAGAACTCACGAGCTGTGCGGTTCAGTTGATTACTATCAGGGCGTACGTCGGTGTTGCATTAGCTGGGCGGAGTGGATTCGCTCTGAGTTTCTCTTATCAGTCATAATTACATTTGTAATTCACTGCGTGAGAAAATTAATGTGTAGCTTGACAGCATGTGAAAAATGTCAATTGCGTGATTCTGGCGTGATCATAATATAATCTTGCGAGATCTCATGGTATGAGCTCTCGTCTCACCCCTATTTATTTCTAATTTATATCTAGCAAGAGTCTCTTTTTACAAACATAAAACGCACAAGCAACATATGGGTAAATATGTAGCAGGATGGATGTTTGTAGTATGACTTGATGAATGCTGACAGAGGACGAGCTCGTACCAACAGTGTTGTCATTGAAGATCTTGGGGTACCCTCTATTGGGGTATTTCCCTCTCAGCTGCCACACATCAAAGAAAGGCTTCCAGTCAATGAAGTCCACCAGACGGTTCAGGTCGTACCACTCAAACACACGGGTGCCCAGGAACTGAGGACGCACTGACACAAAGAAAGAGCACACTCGCTTTTTAAGGGCCGTACAGAAAATGTTATACATTGTATTGAAGTTAGGGCTGAGCAATAAATCAATAATGATAATTATCACAATATAGTTTTCCTCAATAACAATATAATAAATGTTCAATATATTGTCAATAAATGTTTTATTTAATTCATTTGAATCAAGAATGAATTAGCACTTATTTTTTCTATTAAGATATTTATGTTGTTGAGGAAAAGGGACTGAAAAAAAATATTTTACTTAATTTTACTCAAACAGATTTTAAATAAAAGATTTTATCTTAATTGTTTTGAATGTTCTTCCTCAGATTTGTTACGTTATCCACTGTTTGGCAAGTATTTGTCATGTTCTGACCATAAAGAAAAGTTTAAAACCACAATTAACCATCTGGTTTCTTCAAAAAGCAAAAATCAATATATATATATATATATATATAATATATATTTTATAGTGATAAAATTTTTGGCCATATCGCCCAGCCCTAATTGAAGTATTATGTACAAACTGTATGCTGCTTGTGCATAAGATGTTTATATTCTAATGACAGATATTGTACACTGTATCAGTGTATCTGTGATAGAGTTTTGTTTTAATGACTTTGGAATTCATTCATCTGTAACTTCCCTGTCCAACTTACATGGCTTGGGCAGAGCGAGCCAGTCTATATGTAAAGCCTTCTCTCTGGCCTGGGAAAGAGACAGATACCGACGATCCTGAAGCAACACAGAGAGATGGAGGATGAAGAAGAAGACAAGGCATTTGTATTTACATAGCACATTCCATCAAGTAAACTCCATAAGCTCAACAGTAAATACATATGCAAAACACACATCTATTAAACAGTAAAGAAATCCTGGACCTCAACAGCTCCTTTATAGAGCTATGACAGGAGTAGTATCAGAGGAGAGAAGAATGCACAGCGATGTGTGATCCATATGAGTGATAGGATAAACAGTTGTGGGAACTGATCTTTTCAGTGACAGATGATTCGGACATGTCCTCATTTGTTACAAAAACTAAAGAACTTGTAGTCAACAAAAAACTGGGTCAAAAACGTACATACAGCAAGTTAGCATAGAAAAGACAGCGCTAAAATGTCATTTAACTTTATTAGATGAGCCTTCCTGTATGAGATCAAACTTCCTGTAAGTGATTCTGATTTATTATCTGGTTTAACATCCTGAACACCTGTCTCATTGTTTCATTACTCTAACTTCATCTCCAATCACTTCAACTTGCTGCTGTTGTCTTGTCTGATGCCTGACAGCCTGACTGTGAGGACTCTTAAGAGTACTCCTCGAGTACACAACAGAAGGTCAAGAGAAAGGTTTTAGTCCCACTCAGAAGATACTCACTGTGTTCTAGTTCTGTGCGATGTCTTTAAACTATAACCCTTGTGAGTTTACTACTACCTACTTAAAAATGTAAACACTTTATGATAATGTAAACATGGAACTAACAGTATCACACATAAAAATGTAGGCTTAGAGTGGTTTAAAGAAGAGTAGTGGAAGAACTACGGAATTCAGCATTGATAAGCCCAAATACTATGTAGCACAGAGTATATTAATATGAGCATATTCCAAAGTAAATGGATGGCATCATTATAACAATACAAACATATAGGGAAGAAAAGGCCATTGTGTTAAAGAGGAAGTCTGGTGATAGTCTACATTCTCTTTTATTGTCAGACTCAAACCAATAGTGAAAACCAACAGTGAATGTTTCCACTAACAGGTCCTGTGTGTCTCACAGCCTGAGGTCTCCTCTTCCTCTGAGCCGTTGAGCTCCATTGTTGTCCACAAACTATTAAAACCCATCAGTGAGCCTCACTGCTGCACTGGGTGACATGTTCCTTCATCACCACGAACACACACACACACACACTGTAGTTTATTCTGGCTCAGTCCCACACACACTGTCCTGCTGCCCCAAAAACTCACTAGAGCTCCACATGTGGATTCATCCTCGACTGAAAATAGTCCCCAACATATGCACTATTTCGACTTTGATAAACAGACCACTGTGGAAAGAAACTACCGTAGATGAGACTGTGTGCAGGGGCTCAGGTGTCCTAAGTTGTCTGGGAACTGCTGAGTCTAACAGCCTGTATTTGTAAATGTGCTAAAGGTTCAAGACACATTGATGCAATGCTAATCTCAAAGAGGGTTGCCTATGTGGGTCACTGGATCCAGGGCCCTCTAGTGCTTACCTTATTGGGGGTTTCAACCAGCCATTCTTACCTTCAGTGAGTCGTAGTGATCCTGCCTGATCTCCTCATACTCGTCTTTCAGCTCCTCAAAGTACTCTTCCCTCATTGTGTCATCCAGCAGCTGCGAGCACTGACGGACAGGAAATTATGCAACTCAAACATCTTTCCAATCTGTGCCCACAACAACTAATATCAACTCTCTGATCATCAAATCCAATTAGAAATGATCCATTTTCACTTCCCTCTGTTGAATTAGAAAGACAGATTTCACTTAAGTTAGGTGCCACATTAGACTACCGGCAAAAGGGACACGTTTTTGTTGTGGATCCAGGATTTTTTAACAACACATTTTTGGACATATTATTGGACACAATATTTTCATCAACTGCTGGACTTAAGGTGGTTGAAGGAAATCTGGCACTGTCAACCTATTTCTGTTTTAATACGGATTCCCACACAAGTGCAGATAAAACTTTCTTAGCATTATCTGTTATCTAAAAAAACATTTAAAAAGTTAAGCATTGTAAAGCCTTAGTGGAGGTATGTCCTCTTGAAATGATTTCTAGTAAATAATAAATAAATAAATTTGCATGTCTTTTTACTGTATATGTGCAAGATCGGTCTCTCTACGCGTTCAAGCAGATTCTAAGCATTCAGTGTATTTAAGAGACAAATCTGCTTTCATTTAAATCCATTTGCAAAATAACATCATCATTTTGTCTTAAAGCTGGGGGTAGGCAACATGGAGAACCAGCAAGACACAGGTAGATTTTGAAAGTATCCAACCTAAAAAATCCCACCACCAATCTTCAGGCCTCCCTCTGGCAGAGTTTGCACAGGCAGGTAGGTCAGCCGAACATTTCATTTGAAATGAGTGGCCTTGCTTATTACAGTCCAGAGACAGCCACAGATTTCAGTTTTAGGTGCAGTTCCAGTCAGAGCATTTCATTTATTGATTGCTGTAGAGATGTAATGAGAATTTCAACAAATGGAACAAAATGCTCTTGAAATAGTTTTAATGGAATGTTTAACAGGGTACCCCCAGGATTCTCAAAGTCAAACTTAAGACTTTTTAAGACCTTTTTAATACCACCTATAGGATGAAATGTAATACCAACTTCGCTGCCGTATAATGAAAAATCTGTGTGAATTTTTAAGCCCGAGAAAAATATTTACAAAGTTACATGAATTTAATAAAACATTTTATTATAATACATTCATATTTAACACACTATAGCTTTTTGGGGTGTGTTTGTACTTCGATGAGATAAAATGAATCAAGGACGTCACTTTGTGTTGAAAAGTGGTGGGGACATAGGGGTTCAGATTAGGGGTGTTATGATACACTTAGCTCACAATTGCTTCAGTAATTATTCATCCTGTTCTGTTTTTGCGTCTAAAGGCTGCTTGAAATATAGATTTATATAGTATTGGCTTGAAAGCAGCAGGGATAAAGAGTTGGGCTTCGGTTTGTTTTTTCCTCGTTCCTGTGATCTGGGTGATGTAAGTATAATTAGTTTGTTTCCATTCATATAACATTACCCTACAACAGCGGCGCAACGCCGACACAGACACGGTCCTTGTCTCATACACAATGGTCTCGCCATTGCTGTTGTAACGCTCACTGTCGAGGAACCTTCTCCGCTGTTTCATTAGCGCTCGCCAAAGTGTGAGCACCTTTGCCCTCAGCCTCAACCGCCACTTGTTCATATCTCTGGCTTTCTGAATTTCAGACACTTTACTATTCTCAGGCAACGAGCTAGCGTTAGCTTGTTAGTAGCACGTCAGAGACATTTTCTGAACAACTGAATGATTCGCGCCAGAGCACGTGAACCGCAAACACTCCACATTCCAGAGTGTAAAGCTGAACACTGACGTAAACAGTAACGTTACCTGTACTGCCGTATAACATCAGAGTCACACCAAACGGAGTAAATTATAAAGTCACACACATAAAAAGTGTTTATTTATGACGTTACGTTTATTTATGACGTTAATTTATTTAATCCAAGAACAAATTTAAGACCTTGGTAAACGAAATTTAATACTTTGGTAATGAAATTTAATACTTTTAAGGCCTTATTTTTGGAATATGAAATTTAAGACTTTTTTAATACTTTTAAGTGTTGCTAATTTCTTTTGATGTGAAATTATTGGGTTGATACCCTTATTATCTCCGACATTCTCTTTAATCAGTAGTGAAAAATGCCAGTGATACTCTAGACCCTAGAAGAGTTCCAGAAATTCTTACCACCACCACACTCCTAGAGGCATCCAGAACATGGACAACAGGACAACTGTAGCGAGGGGCGATCTTCACTGCTGTATGTGTCCTATCAAAAAATAAGCAAAAAATACACAGGGGGAACGGTAAAATATCATCCTCATTTTATGGTGAGCAGGGGAGGTACTACCCAACTGGTGATGTAATGTTTGGACAAGCAGCGGGATTAGGGCGGCTATGAATAATATATTACATTAGTACAATACAGCACCTGTTACCTATTACACATAAGTGTTCATCGGTATATTTCCGACCTTGTCCCAAATGTGTGTGTGTGTGTGTGTGTGTGTGTGTGTGTGTGTGTGTGTGTGTTACTTAGATGTGGTGGCTCCTCCAATCAGCAGCGGTGTTGTGATTCCTAGTCTCTGCATCTCTTTGGCCACATAGATCATCTCATCCAGAGAGGGGGTGATGAGACCAGACAAACCAATGATATCTGCAGCAATAAAGCAAACATTACTGCTGCTGCTGCTGCCATTAGTCGCAATAATTTAATAAGCCAGAATTTGAATCAGTGGCTATAGGGCTAATTATTTGACAGTACAGTTAATTGGCACACAACTCAAATACAAAGGTATAAGCAAGGGGTTAGGTTTAGTCTCAGAGAAGATATTTTTTTCTTCTATTTTGCATACATTTAAATCATCATGGATTAAACTGGTTATCATGCTCTCCATAATAATGTTAGTTTACCCCCCCCAAAAAAAAATCTACATGCATAAAAACCAGATGAATAAATACTTTTTATTATGCCATGATGTAAAAATGTTTGACAAAAAATTCTAATTACCAGTTTTTTCAATCTTTATAAAGGCTCTGTCTTTTACTGTGTTATCTTTGATTAGGGCTGTAACGGTTCTAAAACCGAGACCGAAATTGCCACACAAAAGTCCTACGGTCTCGTGTTGCGAAATCGAGAGACAGAACCGCGACGCACCCGCTTATTGTATTATTACCGTTGAGCTCTCATTAAAACAGTGCAACTGTGGCGGCCGGTGGAGGGTGGGCTTGCAGCAGTGTATATCTATTTTTATTGAAAGTAGATTATTGTAGCAATTTTCCACCTGATTTCAGTGTTTATTTATGAACCAAAGCGTAGCTCAAAAATCAAGGTCTGAATAGAACCGTGGATTTGGTGCATCGTTACACCCCTATCTTCGATTGATGATCACTTCTAACATCTTTTTAAGGTTAAGTCTTAAGATAAGTAAGATTTAGTGGCATCTATTGCAAACTGACACCAACAATATAGTCTAAATGAAGTTTATACAAACATTTACAAGGGAAACACTGTGATTATGGGGCCTTGCTTACATCTGGTCCACGGTCAGATTATGGTACTTTGATAGGGGCAAAAAATATAAATAGATAAATAATTTGATAGCGGTGCTGAAATACATCTCAGTTACTCACATAATCACTTCCTCTTTAGTGGTTTTGCCTGCAAAATAAAAGCGCGAGAAAAGTTTTTGCAGCAATGATTTATTTCGAGTTGATTAGAGAGCTTTTACTTTGAAAAGTTTTGAACGACATTAAACGGAGTCTGTTGCCTGCTTGACACTAGGGCTGTCGCGATTACCGCAAAATTGAAATACCGCGCTATTGGTCAAGCCTACTGCGGAGGATGGCAAGCGCCGCCGCACATGCTTTATTGTGAGCATGTTAAACAGTAACATAATAAAGTTTGTTGAAGAGGGGGGGAAAAATTCTCCTAACATGGGATTAAACACGCAACCTTCTAGGTGAGAGTCTTGCGATTTAACGACTGAGCTAACCAATCACCCAACATTCAGTTTAAATATTATACCTTATATTCTCACCCACCATCCGATGGATAAAAAAATTGCTCCACTGCTAAACTTATTTGCCGACCCATTCAGTGTATACGTATTCAACGGTTAAGTAGATAGAAATGGCTCATTCTAAGGTAATAAAAACAGTTCATTATGTAAGGGTTTTATACACCACTGAAAACAGAATTTCTGTCCTGAGTAGTGTCTGCAGTCTTCCTCACAAGCTGCATTCTGCCCCGAAAACCTCCACCAAGAAGGCAGGGCAGTTTGTATGTTACCTTAGAGGTAAAATCCAATCAATTAAAACAGTCAATCAATCAATCGTTCTTGCTTGTATTGCAACGGTTAAATGCTTTGAGTGCCCGGGTATAACTGGAAGCGACATTTTGATAAACTCACAGCTTTTCCTATTTGGATTTTGGCAGTTGGACAAAAACAGGATATTGAGGGGGAGGGGGATCTGTTCCTTTATCCACAGAGGAAATTACACCCCTGGGGTGCATGTGTTTGTGTTGAGCATGTTTAGCATCTCACACTGACAATATGCGCTCTGAACTGCACACTCTACCTGCTTTGTGTACGATGGCCTCTCTGAGGATCTTATCACAGGGAACCATCACACCTAGGTCGATCACTCTGAAAGACAAGAAACATTACACACACACACACACACACACACACACACACACACAGTGCCATTAAACAGCGTGTTGGGATGGTGCCCAGGGTCCAGCCACAAATCAAGATTGCCACTTATCTCCAATGGTGCAACACTGTGGCCTGTGGGGGATCAAAAGGCAATGTGCAGTGAACTGGTTAATTCTCTGAAGTGTTTAGTTAGCTACTGTCAGTGCCACTGAATACATTCACCTAAGAGGCCAGCAGCAGATTATGTGTTGCTAGTGTTCAACATACCCACTGTTTCTGTTTCTTTTCGTTACCTAAACCTAATAGATGCTCTTTAAGACAACCCAGGGTTTCCTAATCCAGCCATGAGCGCGTTCACATAAAAGGGCCGGTGTTTGCAGCAGATGACCAATCACAAACATGGACAAGTCTACTGGCAGCAGAGCGACATATTTGACAAACCGTGAGGGACTAAAGAACAGAATACGTACTGTATGATGGGGCCAAATGTATGAAGTAAGAAGTGAACCACCAGCTTAGGACTGAAAAATGAGGGTTAAACCTGAATTGACCTCGCTGACCTCACATTCTGCTTCGTAGTTCAGGCCTCTGGGCTTCTACATGGAGGTTGCTGCTGTTTGATCGCACACTAAAAAACTGAAGACTTATAAAATGCTGCTTTCTGACTGTTGACAAATGTCAATTCCAGTCAACAACATATTTCATGTTATTTACAATGCATTGTGAGTCAGCTGACACATTAAATATAATGGGAGGGTGTGGTAGAAAAAGAACCAAAAGCTCAGCAGATCATTGAAGATGTACTGTAAACTCTTAGCAGCAAGCCGGTTTTACCTGAAGTTGTTGCAACCCAGCACCACACCTACGATGTTCTTGCCAATATCATGGACGTCTCCCTTCACTGTAGCAAGAACTATGGTGCCCTGATAAGGATCCTGCAGACAAAGAAGAAAACATTAGAGGAAGTGAGGGACGAGAGAACAGAATATTTTAGCTTGTTGTAAAGCTCCTCTCTGCCCTTTATCATTCTTTTTCTTTCTGATTTTAGGAACTGTGACTATTTCAGCTCACTTACTGTAAAGATGTCCTGAACCAATTTGTGGGATTAGGATTTGGGAAAATCCAGGAATTTTTGACAGATCGTATTGGCTTTAAGAAACCAATCCAGTTTCGATCTTTGGTTGGTTTGACCAAGTAAGCCATTTGTCAACAATGCCCACTTTGTACTTCATTACATCACTGAACAGCTCCCGAATCGTTTGCCTCATCTTTCCGTGTCATTTTGAAGGTGAACCACACCTCTAAATCACTGCTAATGGCTGAAACCTGCATTTGAATTTTAGTATTTTGTTTATGCTCAAGATGAATATAATGAACTCCATGGATATAATACACATTTTAGAAACACACTATATTATATTATAGAAAACCATGAAAGAAAAGCTGTAATGCAGGTTATATATTCTTAATGCAGCTGTATAACAAATTGCTTTAATCATATATCATCAAATATGATTTTAAAAAATGAAATAAAATAAATATTGGATTAAGTCATTGTATCAACAGATACCAAATGCAATGACTTTGATCCAACAATGTGATCTGGACATCCCTTTAATGAGTTTTAAAGGTTTAAACTTAAAAATGGTCAGCTTCTTTTGACACATACCATTACTCATATCTTTTGTAAAAGGTTTCATGCTTCTGTCAGCAAAGGTTTGACCTTTAAGTATAGTGTAACCTTTGGTACGAATCAGTCAGCTGATTCACTTCATCATACTTCAAACATTTGACAACAGGACCTCCCATAGTGGTTTACATTTGGATCTGTAATGTATGTAAAAAAAAAAAATAAAGAATCTGGTCGTGCAGTCCAGCTTGCTAAAACAAGTCATTATTTTTGACCCTTTCTCTGTGAAAGTTATTTGGGGATACCTTGAAATAAAAACTATATACATGTATGTACTTGCACTGTTGGAGATTTAACATAGATACACTCAGTTCAGTTAGTATTGTGACATCACATAGTTAGGTCTACAGTGAAAAAAATCTTAGGGTAATACCTAGTTGTATTAACATGCAACTAAATGCATCCATATTAAGTTGAGACTGACCACTTCCTCAGTTGACCCAGATGATGCCATCGACTCTTCTCTCTCCTTCTCCATGAAAGGAATCAGGTAGCCCACCGCCTTCTTCATCACACGAGCCGACTTGATCACCTGCAAAAACATACAAGGACTAGAAGTTCTGTTACTGTTTCATATAAGGGCTGAACATTGGTTGCAAACAAAGATGTATTCTTAAGTCTATAGAATATGATGTGTAGGCCAAGACATCTCTGCAGCACAACAATAATTTCAAATGGCATTTGGACAGCCACTTTGCCATTATGTAATATGTTATGTATTCATTTGACGTTAGGGGTGCAACAACTAATCGATTTGTTCATGACGTCATCAGGCCGTAACGACACCGTCAGCTTATTGGACTAAAGTGACGTGAACAGTAAAGTTACTAAAACATCAATGCTGCAGTAACACCTTCACCACCTAAAACCTCCAGAGTGTGGCAGCATTTCACTCTTCACTCAGCCAAAAAGGTTGTTAACTGCAGCGTCTGCAAAGCTGAGCTTTTCCTGGAAACACCAGAGCATCTGAAGAGGAGACGCGTAACGTTGTTGCTCTCTGGATGATGAAGACTCGTCTCGGTAAGCGAGTTAGCGAGCTAGCTTCCCATTAAAGCCGTGTTACTTCACGTTATGAGCTGTAACGTTTTCTATACAGTTTGCTTTGGACAATTTGATTGATTTTTAATGGCGCTGAGAGTAGCACATTTATGATACACAACGGCTGCGTTCACATTCCAGATGTGCCCTGACTTTACAAACATAAACGATGCATCGCTCATGGCGACGTTCCCAGCTGCAGAACGTGTTGCCGCCAAGTGCACAAGATTAGAAAACACTGGACAATTTCATACTTTCTAAAGAAGAGAAAACGGTTCTCCTGTCAATGCGTGAGGCGGCGGCTAATCTGCCCCAAACTCCCTTAAAAAAAATCTGAGTTTTGTGAGTTGTTGAGTTAGGGGGAAATATACACTGCTCAAAAAAATAAAGAGAACACTAAAATAACACATCCTAGATCTGAATGAATGAAATAATCAAAATTAAATACTCCTTTCTTTACATAGCTGAATGTGCTGACAACAAAATCACACACAAATTATCAATGGAAATCAAATTTATCAACCCATGGAGGTCTGGATTTGGATTCACTCAAAATCAAAGTGGAAAAGCACACTAATGGTTGTGTTAGTTATGGCTGCATGAAAGCTTCGTCTTCGTGAGTTGTCTTACAATCAAGCCTTCATGGCAGACAGTGAAAGTGATACTGCCCCCAGTACTTCCTGTAGTGCATTGCAGTTAGAAATAAACAACCAGAAATGTTCTTAAGAAAAAGATTGCTACCTCTCCCTTAAACAGCCTCTCTGTAACGACAGGTCGACAATGAAATTTCACGTCAACAAATTTTTATAGCCGACGTCGTCAATTACGTCGACTAATAGTTGCAGCCCTATTGCGGAGCAAGGACCACAAAAGATTCCAAAATGAGCAGCCATCCTACCTGTGGCAGGAACATCTTCCCAGCTCCAAAGAGATCTCCCACCACCTTCATGCCGTTCATCAGAGGGCCCTCAATGATGTGAAGGGGTCGAGTGTAGCGGGCAACATTAGCCCGACACTCCTCCACATCCTCCACCACATACTTGTCTATTCCCTGACAGCGACAACACAGGATGGAGCATAACAGGAGAAAAGAAAAAAAAAAATGAAAACCTGAAATGAACAGGCGAACTGTTAATAGGGCTAAATGCTTTTAGATAAAAAAAAAAAAAAAACATGTCTATCAGTGTTTACTTTGAAAGTTAAAAACAAGGTGAAAATAGGCTTAAAAATCCTACAAATCCTACAAAAAAATCACTGCCCATTGTAAGACCTGTTCATTCACGGTCTGCAGGGGACACTTTAAACTTATCTGCTCCTTTAAAAAACAAACATTATAAATCATTATTCATAGGCTGGAAACAAGACTGGGATGTTACATAATGGTTTAAGTCAATGTGCACACTTTAACATGTCTCGACAGGTTTTGGTGTTGCAACTTTTCAAGATCAGAGCCACAACAGTGCATCAGCAGTGTTAGAAACTTGCCATTTATAAATTCTGGCCCGTTCTACCAAGCCCCAAGAATGCCAGTGAATATCTTTACGAAAGAGGAAGACTTTTGTTGAATTCAGCTGATGGGACTCTGACTTATTAGAGGCTGTTAATGTTTTTTGTTAAAATCAATAAGTGAGATGTGTGTTTCTGTGAAAATATTTCAGACTATGTCCACAATAAGCCAGCTAAACATGAAAATTGTCTGGTAAAAACAAAGCTGAGTATCTAGTCAAAAGAGGGACAGAAACAGCCTGGTTAGTCTTAGCTAAACCAATAAGGTAGTTTCTAGTCATTTATACATTATTTCTTTCCTGTTGTCAGTATTAACTAACAATTTAATAGCAGCTGAAAAACGCTACCTGTTGACAGGTGAACAGATAATCCTGTTCTGTTGAGTCACTGCCCAAATCACCGTTTTACAATAGCAAGGTCGTCGCACAAAATAAATACAAATCCATCTTAATGACAACTGCAGGCCTAATGTGTGATGTACATACCCAGTGATCATTTAAACGATCATTTTACCTTAATGAGAGCGTACTCCAACCTTTCCTCCACACTTCCTTCTCTCCACTCATCCGTCTGAACAACCTTCTTCCCTCCTTTCACATTGTTCTGTAAAGACGAGGAGTAGGTCAACATCTGCTAGCCAGACTAAAGCAACCACATGGCATATTATTTGTATGTACTGTATGTGCGTGTACCTGTGCGTAGGCCAGTAGTTTCTCAGTAGCATCAGGGTCTCTGTTCCAGATGATGTTTTCACACAGTAACAGCAGCTCTTTATCTATGTCATCATAGACTGGCAGGTTCCCAGCATTCACTATCCCCATATCCATACCATCCTAAGACAGACAGTGTGTGGTTGTGTTAGAAGTAGAAACCCTGTCAGGGTGTCTTCTCATTGGGCTGGTATTACAGAGAGATCTCAGAAGATTTAGAAATTTTATCAATGTTTTGCATGGTGCATTTTCATGGGACAAACAGTGCGAGAGCTTCACATTTGTTGTTAGGAATGTGGTCATGCAGATAGATAAGGTTTTGTATGCCCAGGTTTGAGAACTCTGCTGATTAGACTAATGCTACCACTCCAATACAATCAAGGTGAATGCAAGGTGGGACAGTTGTGCGTTTACCCTGATAGCGTGGTAGAGAAATGCTCCATGCATAGCTTCTCTGATGGCCTCCATCCCTCGGAAGGAGAAGGACAGGTTGGACAGTCCTCCACTTACCCTGGCTCTTGGTAATGTCTCCTACACACACACACACACACACAAACAATGTATGATGCAGTCTAAACTGGCATTCAAGTTTCAGTTCAATAGTACAATATAACTTCTGTGTTATTACAATATGCAATAACTTCAGGTAATTACTTGGGGTCAGGTCACAAGTCAGCAGGAAGTTTAAAGAAATAATCTTGAAGATTTAAATAAATGTCTGTTAAGTCACTTTCTGCAGTATTATGAAATGGGTGTCTGTGTAACCAACTCCTGTCACCATGCCCCACTGTTCACACTCGTGCTGTTTGCAGCATAAAATCACAGAATGGTCTGAAAAAGCTAATTGTAGCCAGACTTCTTTATTAAAACGACAATTGCTTGTTTTGCTGCCCCCAGAACAATGTGTAGTATTACACTACACTTGCTGTTACCACCAGTAACCACAGGTGTCACCAAACCAAAGGGTTAAGTGTCTTGCTCAGGGACACACTGCTGGATGTGACGCGGTGGGATTCGAATTCTTCCACACAAAAGTCATGCGTCTTATCCACTGCGCGATCCCCACCTTGCATTACCTTGATAAGTTTGGTGGCTCTCATGAAGTTCACGGCATACTCGTTGTGTTCCTCCATGCCTGTACCGATGGTGAGGATGTTGGGGTCAAAGATGATGTCGTTGGGGTCAAATCCCACTTTGTTGACCAGCAGCTTGTAGGCCCGAGTGCAGATCTCCACTTTACGCTCTGTGTCTGTGGCCTTCAGAGGACATCAGACATGTCAGCAAACATGAGTGTCCATGTCCATTTGTGTAAGAGAGAGTGTGTGTGTGTGTGTGTGTGTGTGTGTGTGTGTGTGTGTGTGCATGCTTCACCTGTCCTTCCTCATCGAAGGCCATGACCACCACAGCAGCTCCGTAGCGCTTCACAGTGGCAGCTCTGAGCAGGAACTCCTCCTCTCCCTCCTTCAGACTGATACTGTTGACTATACACTTCCCTTGACAGCATTTCAACCCCGCCTCAATCACTGAGAAGTTAGAGGAGTCAATACACAGAGGAACCTGGGGAGCAGAAAGAGAGGCTCAACGCCCTTTTCTGATTTACTGAGCAGGTTCATTTATTGTTTCGTTATTAATAGCACCATATGCTAAATTGGAATGGAAAATATAATAAAAGGAAAATAAAATGTACGCTCACAACCAAATGTGATTAATTAATACTGTAAAATCCCCAAGACCAGAGAGAAAACTATTTTAGTATTTTTTTAAACTATTTTATTTGAAATGACAAATTTGTAAACTGCAAAAAGTTTACAAGGCCCACACACAAGTTACGACTAAGAGTCTACAGCCATGCTAGCAGCTCTGTGAGGCTGTAGTTAAGCACAGCAGTGCTTTGAGCTGCTTGAGACACTCCCATCTCCAGAGCCACACTGCTGGCATGGCTATAGAACCTCAACTGTTGTCTCCTACCGTCACAATTTGCAATGTGGGAGAAATTTATTTCAGCAATAACTTCATATCATTTTGCAATATCGCCAATATAATAAGGAAACATGGCCAAAAATCTTATTGAGAATTTGTATGTGTTCATTTCCACTGCCTTTAAAGCTCCTACCCGGGAGATGTCTGGTTCAGAAGCAATGAAGTTACAAAATCGGGTCATAGCTGTTGGCCCCTCCAGCATCCCCTCATCCATGTTTATGTCCAGGACCTGGGCCCCCATCTCCACCTGGGCCTTAGCAATGCTTAGAGCCTCCTGGACAACAAACATTGGAGCACATCCAAATAAACATATGCACAACCTAAAATTCATGATTTGACTGCAAATTCTAAAAATGTGAAAAGACATAATAGAAATACTTATAACTTCTATAAGAAAAATCATTTTACTGAACATCTGTCTCACCTCATAGTTTCCTGCCATGATCAGTTTGGCAAACTTGCGTGATCCAGCCACGTTGCAGCGCTCGCCAATGTTGACAAAGTTGGTGTAAGGGCCGATCCTGAATGGCTCTAACCCTAGAAATGAGAAAGACATTTTATGACATTGACATCCTGCATTTCAGCACCACTGTTTGATTTCAAAAAATAAAAACATGAACTCCTATGCCTGGGATTTCAATTGGTTTATATGTTTGAAACATATTTTGCAGTTTCCCCAGGAGAAGGGGTGTACCATAAACTCTTAAATAAAAGCTAGTATTCAAATACTGCCCGGGGTTTGTTGTGCACATAAACATTGTTAATGAACACTAAAAACATTGAGGAGGGTGGAATTACCTGTATCATGAGTACCAGGACTGTATTCACAAATAAATCCTCTCTCTCCTTGTTTCAGTAAATCTGAATTTCCTGCATACGTTCCATATTAAAATCCTACCAGGAAAGGCGGGGATAATAACCTCTGAGCTGCTGGAAGGGGTTTCTTGACATTAACTCAACAATGAGGAAGGATAAAGAAAAACTCTAGTTTGAAAAAACAAAAAGCATTAACTCAAGGTCCACTTGCAAGCTTTTTCTGTAGCTTTTAACCACATTGTATGTTCTTCCTCAGTAAACGGAGTCTTAGTAAATCTGCATAATGAATACAGATATTATTTCACGGAGCAAACGATCCATTAAGGACGATAGTGGTCCTGAAAAAGCGAGAGAGTTCCCTTTAATCTAATAATACGGACATGAGAACATGGAGGCTTCAACCAAAAAAATTAAATGTTTTCAAATAATAGGTTAATTCTGTAGTTGAGGTCAATAAATAAAACACTATTAGAGAACTGACTGCATCCACAATTAATTAGTTTATATTTATTAACCACAACAACCTAGATCAGACATCAAAGTCTCACTGAAAATGAGAAGACATTCTTCACAGATGGTAACAGGAGGTTTTAATACCTGAGAGCAGCAAGTAGTCTTGATAAAGATCACCAGCAGGAACTCTTGGCTGGCAGTGTTTGACTGCTTCAGATATGGCTCTGTATGAGGAGGAAGGGAAAATATTTTTAAATGTTCAAAACTGCATGAAATGTAATACAAACACTTAATGGTCAGAAACATGACAGTGACCTGATGTGTCCTGGAGTGGTCCCACAACAGCCTCCCACAATATTCACAAGCCCATCCAGAGCAAACTCCTGCAGACAAAAATGTAGCTGGAGCAATGATGGACACATTTTCCTATATTTGAATTTAACTACTGGATTAAACCTGGATGGTCTCTTGATATCTTATCAATATCTTTTTCAAGATAGGTCTGGTAAAAAAAAGAGGCGGCAACTGTCACAGCACAGAACCAACACACACACACACACACACACACACACACACACACACAGCAAAAAAGAAAAGCTGACAAAAGCATTTAATGATGTTTATGACTTTTACGTTTAATCATTCAAAGTGAAGAATAGTAAAATATGTGGAAATACGCTTATTAGCATTCATCATGAGTGCGAGACGTCTGTCTATCCATCTATCTAATGTCTGCATGTTGGTAGAATAAACACATTAGATATGACATGCTAATCTATGAGGTATGCAAAGGGTATTTTGTACTCTGGACAGAGCCAGAGTACAAAAAGGCTAGCTATTCCCCCTGATTCTATCTATATGCTAAGCCAGGCAAACCTTGTCCTGACTCCAGATCTGTACTTAACACACAGGCATTAGATTTATATCAATCTTTCACTCTTAACACATGAACATATTCCCCACAGTATTTAATGTTTTCTGGTGTATTTTCTCCAGGAACTAAAAGTACTTGCTTAGTTTTGACTATTTTTGTGGCATTGTGCCTTTATTGGGTAGTTTAGAGCGGAGAGATCGACAGGAAACAATGGGAAAGAAAGACGGGGCATGACATGATGGCAGAGTGTCTGATGTTGGTAAGAATTCTGGGGATTAACACGGTACGCTACAATATAAAATTGGTGAAATATTTTGTTTTTAAATATATTTGCTAAAAATGAGGTGCAAGAACATCACAAGCAGAAAAAGTCAACTAACACAACGTTCCCAACATGTCTGACATAAACAGGAAATTATAAGACTTACAGTAGGGAACCGCTTCCTTGTTGCTAGGATTTTGCAGGAACCTAAGGGCCAAGATATTCTCTGGGACTGTTAAACATCGGCCCCAGAGAAAGAATAAAATATAAAAAATATAAAGAATAAAATATAACCTTTAAATTGGAAGCTGTAACTTGTGGAGTCTCATCATATCCTCCAAATGTGTTGGGAAGACCTGCCAGAAACAAGATAGGCAAAGACAGAGATCACGACATCATTACATCATCGCTGGTGGTCTGACACATGATGCAACATAAATTAGGCTAGAGGTCAGTGTTTACTTAGAAAAAAAACAGGATCATTTACAGTGTGTTAACATGTTCATAACTAAACCTCCCTTCAATAGATCTCTGGTCATTACTGTGGCTGCAGTTTGTGTTGGTGGTGGTGTATTCTGGGATTGAATTATATTGAAAGCTGTTTTCTAATACCCTGAAATAAACAAATTCCCCTGAAACCAATAAATGTTTTTAAATTAAAACCTATTTATTTTTTAACTATACTGATTCATTTATATTTACATTTATTTATGTATTACCTCATATTTATTTCAGGATTTATTTGATGGGAATATTTATTTATTTAACACCGATTTAAATATATGGAATGGTTATATACCTTCTGTAACAAGTCAGACTTGAGCAGAGGAGCTGAAACCTTTTTTACAACTGTATATTTGGTTGTAAAATTTGGATTTAAGCCCTGAGTGCTTTATGGTAAAGGTCAACAACGAACTGTGCTGAAGAACTGTAGTTGTATAGACTGAGTGTGGGTTACCTGCATTGGGATAACAGATAATGAAAGCTGTGGTGCTTTTTCCTATGGCTTCAATGAACGGCCTCATCTCTGTCGCCCCCAAGGCACAGTTCAGGCCAATACTGCAACAGAGAGAAACAAAACCAATAAGAAACTGCACTGTACACCAATCCTCACTCTCACGGTTTAGTCACAGTAAGTGTAGTAATGTGTGATGTAATGTGTGTACAGTAACTCACCACAGAGGTTTAGCATGAGACACGCTCACTACAAAGGCTTCTCCTGTCTGACCGGACAGAGTTCGTCCACTCCTGTCAACGATGGTCCCTGAGATCTATGCGATGAGTAGGAAAAGACATTTAAATAGAGAACGCATTGATCGTTGCTTCAACTGAGATGGTGGGCAAGAATTTTCTTTCTGATCAGACACCTGTTTCATAGGTGTCTTCTAAACCACACAAGGATACAGTGAAATTTGGGGAAATTGTTTGAACTATCATCACAGAGTACGGTCTAGACCTGCTCTTTTATGAAAAGCGCTGTGAGATAACTGTTGTTGTGATTTGGCGCTATATAAATAAAATTGAATTGAATTGAATTGAACATAATGAAACACACTACAGGAATTTTTACATTACTGCATTTGCTCATGTGCAAACCACAAAACTCAACTACAACCACTCCACCCCATGCATTAACTGTTAACAGAAAATACAGAAACAGAAAAGAGATTATCAATAAAATATCAAAGACATACTAATATAGGTTTTCTTTCGTAGCCCTTTTCAAACAGCAGGTCTATGGCAAACAAGGCAGCCTGTAGAAGGAAGCATACATTGGTAGAGACATCAACGCCTGTACATACAACATCAGGTTAATTAATCTTGAAACAGGAACTTAGATTTATAGCATGTCCACAGAACATTTTAAAATTGACAAACACTCCAGATGTGCTTGGATCATTCTGCAGTACAAAGACAAAAATCAGTATGCTCAAATGGTAACAGGCCTTCGTAGAGAACCTGCTACGTAACTGCCATCTCAGCTTTTGACATGACCAGGGGCCGCCTTAAGCATCTGGGGGCCGGTTTCAAGAGCTAATAAGGGGCCCTACCCCATTAATAATGGACCAGAAAAATAACAAATGCAGAGCACGACTTTCATCACGAATCACCCAATTTTAGAAAACATTTGTGTACATGAACATATTTATTTATATCGGAGACCGTTCATTTGCTGTTAGAATATTCTAGCATAAAGTATTATAAAAACCAATCCCACGCTTAGGAAAATGAACCATAGTATTACTACAGTATATTTAGTAGTTTCTGTAGTTGTTTTTTTAAACACTTGTTTAGAATATGTTATAGTAAATGCCTTAAAAAAAAAAATAACATACAGAAAACACTACAGTAATACTATATTATATATACATACACACAATATAGTCTAACTGTAGTATTTTCCTGAAAAACCTTAGTAATACAACAGGAAACATTATAGCAATACAATATAAATTCTATAACTTTACCTTAAATCAACAACCAACTCAATAGTATTAATATGGTAAAACTAATAGTACTATTTTTATTTTGTGGCATTTTTTTTATAGTATATATATAGTATATAGTGTTTTTTGGCAGTAAGTAGGGGTGCTGCAACCCCCTCAGCACCTGTACTTCCTGTGTCGATGTCTCTACACACTGAGTGAAATAAGTAGGTCCAACTAGTTTATTTCAAAAGTGGGTGAATTACTCAATTGCTGCATGTCAGTCAGGGCCATTTGGTGGGCGGGGCCCGTTTCAATCGAAACAGGTGAAACATAGCTAAGGCCGCCTCTGGACATGACTGATTTATTGTGGTTAATCTACTTTTAAATCACATATTTAAATGTATTAAAAGTCTTTCTTTAGTTGCAACATTAGAAGTATAAAAGTGCATTAAATTAAGACGATGCATCCAGTCTATCTCTTCCAGGGTCCCAGTCAGCCTCAACTCTTCAAACTTCAGCTTCAGTTAGTGCTTTCAAGTTAAATCAACAGACGTGTTTAAAAGTGAGAGTTACCTTAGCATTGGCAGTGTCAAAGATGGTTTCAACCAGTAGGATGTCGGCTCCTCCATCTAATAAACCTCTGACCTGCTCTGAGTAGGCTTCTACAAGCTCATCAAATGCTGGGGAAAACACACACAAACACATTACAGGGAATATTATTCCATGCTGTATATTGCATTGCTATGATATTTGCATTATTCATTATTATTATTTGCACCTGTACATTTCCTACTGTGACATGTCAAAATAGCTGCTGTGAAAGACACTGTATTCTTAGCTGGACCTCCATAAGAGTGATCACCCTGAGTTTCTTCACATTATTTACACTGTCAAAGAGGAGTTCATTTAACTATTTGTTTATCATTATGGTTGTTATTAGTGGTGGTGCTGTAATGAACTGAATTAAATGCAAGGTGTTTTCTCATTGTTTGCCCCCTCTTGGCCCCTTTACAGTGTCCTAAAATGCACAAAGACAAAAAAGCTGTTATGTCATCTTACTGATGTTCCTGAAGTCTGGTTTCTCCACAGACGGGGATACAGACAGGGTTTTATTGGTGGGACCCACTGCCCCGGCCACGTAGCGTTTACAACCTGATAACGCACACACAGATTACAGTTAATGTTACACACATGCGAAATTCCCAGAGAGTCGGAGATTGTACATTTATCTTCTTGATAAATGCAGCTCTAATGCTAATAATTCGGCTAACCCGTTTGTTTGGTGACTTCGTCGGCTGCCCTCCTCGCCAGCTCCGCTGACGCCTTGTTAAGGCGGTAAGCCTGCACAAACACGAGTGATCATTTTAAAGAAGGTAGGTGAGCTGGTGACAAACCACCAAATCACATTGAAACTATGGCCACACAGTATAAATTCAGGAATACTATTAAGAGAACTTCCCTAAGCCTTCAACAAATCAGTCAATTACAATTCAAGTAGCAACAATACTTTTCCTAAAGTGATAAACTGAAGCACTCATGTAAAGCACCAGACCACTTTACACAAATAAGTGGCATTTCGGATATATCCGAGCATTTCTTTGTTATTTCCACCACTTTTGTAGTTTAAAGCGATAACAGCAAGGTCACAGAAGAGTGTACAGCTCTGTGTAGAAACGGGGGTAGGTCTACTTCTAAGAAGTGTCTTCATCGCTGGTTAATTAGTTACCATCCGTCATCTGTGCCTGACCTTTGTTTCTACTACCACGTAAGTGCATGAGTTGTCCAAACTGGTCTAGTAGGGTCAGACATAATACCATGTGTTCCAGTCCATAGTCTGCCTGGGCAGTGGAAGTGCTGCTGAATGTGTTGGTCTCTATGATGTCAGCTCCAGCCAGCAGGTACTCCTTTAAACACAGAATGCAAAGGTTATGCACTGGGGACCAGGTGCAGTTCACGGTAGTTCGCAGTGAGGCTTGGGGGTTATCCAGAGGCCTAGGATATTATTCATTATTCATATTTGTCAAATGCTCTTCTGCAGTGATCAAACAAACTTCCATTCACTTTGTATTGTTTTGGTGGCAGAAATCTCAGACACAGACATTTAACTCACAACACATAAAACTGAAATGATATCGCTAAGGGTAAGTGGAGTAAATCAGTCTGTGACTCTTCACTTTTTCCTCATTGGGTGAACTACCTTGTGTATATTGTAGATGATATCGGGCTGTGTGATACTGAGAAGGTCATTGTTGCCCTTCAGTAGAAGATGATGCCCTTTAAACTCGTCCCCCCTGAAATCTTCCTCTTCAAGCTTATGCTGCTGGATCATGGTTCCCATACCACCGTCCAGGACCATGATCTTTTGCTGCAGCACAGCTCGCAGCTCGGACTCTAGTGGACATCCGCACCCTGGAAAGAAAATAAAAAGGATCCAGGATGGCTAACTTGCAAATACATTTACAATAAGACAAATGTTTCAAACAAAAAAAACAAGCAGCTGGCAAAATGCATCCTTTATGACATTAGTTGATTCTGATTGGAGTCAAATGCTACTTCATTAAATTTTGTCTATCGGAACAAAAGACATCATGAATATCACATTTTTATTATTCAATCGTGGCTGTAAGATAAACTGTGATTTTATATTAGAGCTGCAACGATAAGTTGATTAGTCGGTCGAAAGAAAATCAATGGACAACTATTTCGATAATCAATTAATCGTTTCAGCCATTTTTTAAGCAAAAATGTGAAAATATTGCTGGTTTCATCTTTGAAATTGAGGAATTGCTGCTATTTTTTGTCATTTATGATAGTACATGATACTTTGGGTTTTGAACTGAAGCAATTTCGAGAAGTCACTTTTGGAAGCTTGTGGTGAGCATTTTTCAAAATTTGACATTTTATAGACTTAACGATTAGTCGATTAATCGTGAAAATAGTCGGCAGATTAGTTGACAATGAAAATAATCATTAGCCGTAGCCCTATTTTATATTAATGTTTATTCTCTATTCTTCCAAAGCTTTGTCTTGGTCTAGTTCATCCAATGGTAACCTGAGCAGGGAAATAAACATTCAGCAGCAACTTTTATTTGACCATTTACAAAGCAACTACATTTATACTGAACATTTCCTGGAAATTATCATTTGGAAACGTTTTAAAGGAAATGAGGGCAGAAATTCAGAGAAAACATCACATCCACCTCCGACATGTACATAATAATTGTGATAATAATAATTTACTCCTGCATCCTTTGCGCTCTTCATTGCACTATTGTCTCAATCCGTCTATACTGTTTTTGTTTCTGTTTATATTGTGTTCTTTAGAGTGTAGCCTGTGTGTGATTTTATCTTTTTTATTTTTTTATTTTATAATTGTATTATTGTATGAGTAAGCACATCGTGAGCAATGTACAATCCTGAGTCAATGTCCTCGTATGTGTACACACACCTGGCAAATAAAGCTGAAATAAAGAGATGCAGAAGTATCTGCAGTTGCACCACCAGACTGCAGAGCAGCTTCTTTCCTCAGGCTGAGACTTAAATTCGTCCTCCGCACTGCACCATGCCGAATAGTTTATTTCTGAGTTTTTATATTTAAACATCCATCTACTGTATAACGTGCAAAATGAAAATTGTTAGTTGCAACTCTTTTATGACAAAATGCTTCCCATTGTGGGGAAATTTTTTAATAGAGAAATAAACTTTCAGGTACTCTCTGCTCAGCGACCACTTGTTGTTTTCGTAAAGCCTTCACTGGCTCTGAAGTACTGATCAAACGTGGCTTTTTTGTATTCTTGGGGTCCATTTTGAGGTGAAGGCAAAACTATGACCGAGTTCCCCCCTTGAAAGCCGAAGAGAGCCAACCTTATACTAAATACAGAGCTGTCAGATGGTCGGTGTGCAGACCTCAAGCGATCCAGCTGGTGCTGCTGGTCACAACAGCGTGCACTCTCATATTGTATAACTTACTAACATTGCTGGAATGAATGTTCTATCATAGCTAACTCTACAAAAATGAACTTCCACATACGGTTACATGTTATATAATAGCTAGTACCGTAAGAGCATGTCACACATACACACGTGGACCGTGGTGTAACAACTGGACAGCAGTAAGTTCACCGGGAGTGGGCACAGAGACAGCGCCGCAGGCTAAAAGCTAAGCTAACCGTTAACGCTGGGAAAGATAACGTTTAATATTTACCCGCTTCTGAAGACTTTCGATGAATGACGTTAGTCGGAGCCATCTTGTGAAAAGCCAGCCTTGAAGTGCTTCTGAAGAACTGCCGGTTAATGTTGCAGCTCAAACTTGACCAAGCAACCGGTTTCCCGGCTGGTCGGCAGCGTGTCTGTGCTCCACCAGCTGCAGCAACACACTTCCGGCCTAGCCCTTCACAATAAACGCTTCACCACAATTTTCCCACTTACCTTAGCAGTAACATTTAAATTAATACTCCACGAAAGGGGGGCGGTTACCACAGACTGATGTTAAGTTAAGTACCTTTTGTTCAGTAAAAATAGAGCAATTTCTTTCTCATTTTGGTCAATAAACAACACATTTTAATTACTGTAACATGCCAAGCTTCATGTGCTGAAACATCACAAATGTCCATCCATCCATCGTCGGCCGCTTATAACCACATCTCTCTCACACACACTCAAAACATTGAAACAAAACTGAATAAGTCTTGAAATCTGTTTATCATAGGTGGTCCATCAAAATATTTGATGCTGGAGGTGGAAGTTGAAAAACCCCCAGCACCCAGGTCAAGATAGTCATGGTCAATTGCTGAGCTAAAGTAAACCAGAGGTGACAGCCAGGGACTCTCTAAAACACTAGGAAGGATAAACATCCTCAGACAGGAAGTACCCTTCAGATTTGGTGTTGGCATCCCATGTGTCCCAACTGTATTTATAATAAGCAAATGCTGGGTCAGTCTCCTAAACTTTTTTCAAACCTGAACCTGGCTCAATTTATTTCCATAATACCTTCATGTGATCATCGGTAAAGGTGATGACTGTCCTATTTACTGGAATTACACAGACAGAATAGAGAGCATAAACTCAGACAGCTGAAAGCTCCAACACAATCACTAACACTGTGATATGCAGTTGAAAGTGTGCGTGTGCAAAGACTGAGATTCATTTTCTTTACAGCTGACTTTTAATATCAATGCTATAGAAAAATACAATCAAAATGAACCTGCCAAAATTATAAAAGACCTGCTACCAGACTAAGACTCGGTCACAGTCTGCAGAGGTTTGCCTCATGAGTCCATAAACAGTGGGTTAGTCATCCTGGGGTGCCCCCTTTAGACTGGACCTCTGCTTCTTCTGGTCCATCTGACCCATGACACGGTACAGTTTTTTCCGCGCCTCCTTCTGTCTCTTCAGCTTGGCCTCCTCCTGTTTCTCCTTCTGCTGCAGGAACTTCTTGTGTTTGGCGTGCTGCACCATGTGGGCTTTCTTTGTCTTCTGGTTGTGGACCGTGCTCAGAGCGTGGAGCAAGGCCGCCACCTTAAGGAAAGGGACAAGAAAAACAATACTTCTAGATAAAGCCATGTTTTAGTGCAGGGAGTAGTCCAAGGCCTTCTTGAACTTAAAGCAATCCACAACAAACTGGGTCATGTGTGCACAGCTTTGGCCATCATTTCTGCCACCTGTGATAACATTTTAATGGAGGACTGAACAAGCAATAGCCTACTGTTTCTGTTGTCGGTTCAGTACAAATCAGTGATTTGCTTGAGGTCATAGGTCATAAATGCTCACTCCTAACAAAGGCTGATGAGCTGCTGCAGTGAGACAGCAGGGCCAGGTTTTGCTCACCTTCCTCTCGTGGGGTTCTCTGATCACACTGGGCCTCTGAAGATCTCTGGGCACCTTTCCTTTGGGTTGCTGCTGTTTGGGTTTGCTCTTGAAGGGCAGGGCCTTCTGGAGCTCCTTGGGGATGTGGAGGGGGTTGAAATGTCTTTGGGCTCGGACCACCGGCTGGAAGGGAAAGCGATGGATAGTCACATGTCACACACTACTGTGTGAAGGACAGGTCTGCAGATGCTTTAACTGCAAGACAACTACGTGAGGAGTTTAACTGTCAAGCAAGCCAACACAAAACAAATATACACATACCTAAAAACACAATGAAATATATTACTAATGATTAGTTATTATTAGTGTTTTTTTATTCAATAACATATTTTGTCTATGCCAGACGACCCAAATATATTCCATTTACTGTGATATAAAACAGCAAATTCTCACACTAACTTAAAGTTACTTGACTTATCGAATACTCAGCTAATCATTTCTTTCATCGTTAATTCTCCCATTTTTGGATTTCCTTCCCATCTTTTAGCCAAAATTGTGCAGTGCATGTTTTGAGTTTGCATCTTGGAGAATGTAAACATCAGTAAGATCTATTAATAGCTTCCTTCTCAGAGCTATAGTTGGTAGGACTGTATTACACTGCTCTTACTCCTTCTTCCCTTCATCAGATCATGTGTAGAGATCCATCAGGCTGAGCCTACTCTACCTTGTAAAGAGAGTCCGTGTTGGGTTTGTTGCGGATACCCAGGTCATGTTTGAGCTGCCCCAGGGTTCTCATGCCCTCCCAGCTGTCCTTCTGACCAACAGGCAACAGCAGAGAGGTGACGGGGTTGTAGAGCTGGGGAACAGATACTGGAAACCAGGAGCGCAGGAACACGATGTCTGCACAACAAAGGCATCAACACAAAGGCATCAACTACAGAGGAGTCCTTCAGATGCAACATATCAGTGTCAAATGTTTTGTTCCACTTTTGCATAATGGCCATAAAATAAAAGACAATAATGTTTAAAAGTCATTTTTACCTAAAGTAAGCAGTATAGTGACAGTTACACACTCACCACTCATAAGGAGGCGGTCCTCAAAAGTGGCTCTATAAGCTCCTGATGGTGTCGACAGCGCCTTCTTAATCTGACCTCTGACCCCCGATACTGTTCGTACAGAGGCACCTTCAAATTTAGCTACTTCCAGCACTGTGTTGAACATGCCCTGTGAACACAGAGGGAGAGCGCAATCAAAACACAAGTAGCAGTAAGATTATATAACTGCTTCTTCACAGAGCACAAAGCACTGAGATCTCATTCAACACAAGGTACCTCTGTCCTTTTACAACATTCCATTTACTCTGCTCACAAAAAAGCAAACATTAGATACAAAAATGACATACACTAGATGTGTGGATTAACTATTTTTAATGATGCAGTGCTGAACAGTGTTTGATTTTTTTGATCCAGGTCAGAGGTTAAAAGTGTGCTTCATTTATTGTGACATGTCTGTCTTCTATGTAGTCCCTTCAATCCAGGACAATTTCACCCTCAACTTTGACACCGACTATGCTACAGATCAGCTTCCAAGTTTCCAAAAGTTATTAAAAAAAAAACATTAAAATCTGACACTAAAAGAATATTTCTTAAGAAAATCACATCCAATCTCACCTGTTTTAGTGGTCAAGTTTTTACATAAAGGTTGAAAGCCGTAGACCTAAATGAATGAGATATTTAAAAGATACAAGTAAAGAAAAGTTGTCCTACCTTAATGAAGGAGGTGTTCTTAAAGATCTTGTAGGGGTAACCGATGAGTTTAAGCTTCTTCACTATAGTCACAGACTTATCCAGGTCCAGGATGACTCCTGTGGCTGCAATACGGAAATTAGCCTGCAGAGACAAGACAGGAATTTATAAGTCAAAGTCTAATATATATATTTAGGCAGAATTCCATATAATTATGTAAATGAGAGTTACAACATATGATATTGCCATTTTACCAAACTTGTCACTTCTATTACGGCTGGAATAGTTTTAATTTTACTCTCAGTTACATCATTTCAAGAACTGAAATGGAACCAACTGTTCACACAGATGTTAGCTGCTATAACTAAAGTGAATAACTGACTTACTTTAGTTCCTGCTACTGACTGCACAGCCAGGAAGCCGGTGCCCTGTGGAGTGACAGGACCTTCATTGAGACAAAAAGAGAGGGAACGTTACTCGTTATTATCATCAGATATACATGATAATTACCCACGACTGCAAAACATTTCTTCTCAACAGTTCTGGAATACAAGTCTCATTATACAGGAAGAAATGACTTCTACTAACTTTACATAGTCACTGCTTAAACCTCATCAGATGACTTAATCACCATTTATCTCTATCATTTAAGAACACATGGCAGCACATGAATGACTGTAACACTGGCTACACGTACAAGTACAGCAATAATCCAATTTTGTCACTGAGACAGTAATAAATGTATAAGGCAGGCGTTAACAGCATAATCTGATTGTTATGTGATTGTGCTCTCAGCTGAAGTACCACCACATTGTAGTGTCATTATTATAGTGCATTCAACTCATTAGAGCCTAATTGGCTTATCATATATATATATATATATATATATATATATATAGTACTTGTGTTTGTTGGACAATAACAACCTAGAAATTGAAGTAGAAGAATGCCAAAGATATGCTTGAGGTTATTTAGAAACCTGGCACATAAACTGCTGTGAGTCACAGAGTGTGAGCCTCAGAATCATGTTGGCAGGTGTCAGTTCTTACTGTCCATGTAATATGCAACTAAATATGCTTGACACAATTTTATAGCAAGAGCTTACAGCTACTGCTAGATAGAATGGGCTGCCTCCTTTAACTAAGGAGTCAAATCATCCTGCTTTGGCTGGTATTCCCTCGTAGAATGTAGAGATCTTAATATGTTTTTATGTTTTACTTTTTAATATATTGATATAATTATATATAATTATATTGATAACGGCCAAGCTCTACTTAAGGCCTCATCCATATATGACTACCAGAGATTTTGCACCACACACAAGTGTTTATGATGCACCCGAACAAGTTCAGCATCACTGTCTCTTTCATATTCATATTTGTCTTAGAAAACATCTTTGTAGATGTTTTACTGTGTAGAAATGATAAAAAAGGAGAGCATCAAAGCGCAGATTTACTGCAGAGGTAGCACAAAGAGGAGTACACCACAGCATCGTGACATACTGATCAGGTGTGAGGCTGAATACTGGACAGAGTTCTGACAAAGTAACACGTTTATGAACATGAATGGGACTTTTGTCATACAGGAGTATGATTGGACTTTTTCCTGTAATCAGCCAATGGAAATGTCTGTCTCAGGATAATGTCTTACTCTAATTTTTAGCCTTAATCTTATTATTATGTGCATATAAACACAACCATTGAGACACACTACAACATACAATCACGTTAAGGTCCACTTAATCTACTATAAAACTTGAATCAGTAGCCCGGGGTTTTCTTTGCTTCAGTCACTGAGCCTGCCTAAATCTGGGACAGGCCTTTAATTCCT